GAGTGGGTAGCTTCAGAGGATAATTGTTGGAAAGTGCGGCCGCTATGTGTCATACGTCTGCTTTGTGTTTGTCACCCCAGTGGCCGCCAGACAGTCCTCCCGAAAATCCCTCAAAGACATGAAACACAGCAGCAGCCGCTTGGACAGACTTTCCAGGTACTAATATTTCAACGTCCCTACTAGCATTTTTTTCACAGTTTTTGAGGTCATTGTGTGGTCATTTGTGTCAAAGTGATTTAGTGGTCGCTTTTCCCCCCACACTAGACAAGTATGTCTGCACCTCACCTGAAGTTACTATAAGAGTAAGAGCATTGTTTGATATCTGTAGTAACAGCGGTACGCTGGACTTCTCCTTCGATCGCTCTGACGAACATCCCCTTGACGTCTTTGAGGACATCTTTACCAACTTCGAAAAAAGGAAGTGAGTGAAAAGACGTGCAACTGCAACGACCTCAATTCAATGATGCTGCTGAACCACTTCCAACAGTGTTGCTCACATAAATGGCAACACTTGCATTGAGTAACTCAGCACCATTACATGGGGAAATGCGGTGTTGATGATGTATATTTTCTGCAGGAAAACTAGATCCGGTCGACAGAAGCAACTTATTCCAAAGGTGAAGCGATCCTCTGATTGTCCTGATTGCTTTAGTGTGGACTTGAATGTTCTTTGTTTTCTCCCCGTCCCATCAGAATCTTATGAATTTACGCTCACTCCAGCAAGTTGTGGGTCTCGTGGCGCACAATCGCAATCGTAAATTCGCCTGTTGGCCTGCGACTGCGACCGTTTGCGCTCAGTTTCAGGTCCGTCTGCATCCTTTTTAGCTACTGGCTATTCATTAAACCAAACACAGAGAGTTATTGACACTCCTTACTCTCCTCACAGGCATCACTCACAAAGCTGATGGACACCATCGGAAAAGCCAACCCTTTCTTTATTTTCTGCTTGCGCTCCAATGCGGAAAAGGTACACCTTTGCATGTCATTCATATTATGTAATGTTGCCCTCCACGTGAAAGTATTTGTTGCCAGAGCACCAGGCATTGCCGGTTGAATCATCTGCATACCCAAAAACTCACCAACTTCTGCAAGCTTGTGTATCCTAGTGGGAAAAATATATTTCAGTGGTCCCCAACAATAGGTCCCCTAAAAATAAAACATAATTACCACTAACAACAGTTTCACAGATCTACACAAAATCTGGTGGACTTGTTGATGTTAACAGGATGCACTAAAAAATCTGACAGGAGAAGTCAAGTAAAAAACGTTCTTGATATGTTCTTGGCGTCTCCACGAGTCCAAACACGGTATTCTGATTAATATTGCGTTTATGGAATATGAATTAAGCAGCCAAATCCGACCACTTTTATCCATCTCGGGGGGCAGCCATTTTGCCAATTACTCTAGTCTGAAAATGACATCACACCGCCTCAGTGCTTGCGAACATCACATGACCAAACCCAGAAAACAGGTGAGTCGTGATTTGTTATTACTCGAGCCCTGACCGACTGTGATGTCATTTTAGTCAACAGCAAGTGGCAAAATGGCAAACCTCTGTGACGGATAAAAACGGGAAGCTATTTTGATTTTTACCAAGGCAATTTTTGACTTCACTTCCCCTTTAAAGACCCATAACCAAAATTTAACGGAAAGTCATCTATTTTGTGCACATTCCAGCTCATACTCCAGCAAGGGAATTTGCCCAAAATGAGCCTCAATCATAAGCAGGTATACTACACATATGGGTGAAATTCCAAAGCGTGTTTGCCTATGCCATCTAATCGCCATCAGGACGTCAAAGTTTGATCAACATTTCATGGATTCGGCATGAACAATGTAGGGCCTATTTTTAACTTCTTGCAGCTTTCATTTAGTTTTTTTTTTGTTTTTTTTGCAGAAAGAATTTCACTTGGACGATGAGCTTGTGCGCCAGCAGATTCGCTACACAGGCCTCTTGGAGATGATTCAAGTACAGAAATCTGGCTACAATGCCAAATACACTTTTAAGGTGCTCGTTCGTGGCTATTATGTCTGCTTTACAGTACATTAGAGAGCTAATGTCTTGTGTTTCGCTGACAGGAATTTGTTGAAAAATTCCGAATGTTGCTTCCAAAAGAGTCCACCGAGTCCCCGGAACACATCACTAAGCTCTTCATCAGCATGGACTTGGATCAGAGCACCTACCAAATAGGAAAAACCAAAGTAAGATCAGATATAATTAACGGGCAAAACATCATTTGCAGTTACTATTCCTTACTATTATTGTACTGTAGGTGTTCCTTAAAGAAAAGGAGAGGCAGCTGCTGCAGGACACCCTGAACAAGGAAGTGAGGCGTCACATCGTCGTCCTGCAGCGCTGGTTCCGTGCATGTCTGATAAGGATGCACTTCCTGCAGAAGAGAGATGCCTCACTCATTATACAGGTAGGATTCACACACGATACACGGGTATCACTTCACCTCTCACTGTCAAGTTTGGATGTTAGGAGACGTAGGGACTGAGTGCACCTTAACTTCCCCGTCCAGCATCTTGATGACCTTGTAACGACGTAAGAGAAAACTGCGGCCGAGCATATAGTTTCATTGTATCATTCCAGAGGAATTGGCGTGAGTTTCACGAGAACCGAAGTAAAGCTGCCTCAGTGATCCAGACGGCGTGGCGGGCTTCACTCAAGAGGTCGCAGAAAGAGCACAAAACAAGCAGTGAAAAGAATTCAACAGAAGTTCGACCCGCCAGAACTAAGTAGGTGCTTTTATATATTTTTTTTTGTATTATCCAAACAAAAAATGTAATGAATGGGAGTAGATCACCAAAACGTATACTACCACGCAGCCCATCAAGAAAAGGTCTACGTCGGCAGCAAAAAGTGGAGGTGAGCCCTAACAGAAGTGAGCAGGCTGACACTGTCATGGGTCAGTCCACTGCAAGCAGGGAGAGACGAGGTGGTCACGGTTCTCCGCCATCCCTCAACCGGCCCCTGTCCCTGCCTTTGGACCCCAGAGTGGGTAGCGATGACACGACTGGTACCGCTGACTCCCCTAAGAGCAGCTCCCTCCAGCGCTACAAAGACACAGGCGACTTTAAGGAGAAGGCCGAGAGGTGGCGGGAGAGAATGAGCGACGAATCGAGTCCGGAGGTGAGCAGGCGGCAAGGCAAGCGCAGAGATGACTTCCGGTAAGTGTAGACAAGTCGATGATATATGCACCTACCTGGATTAGTGCTGTTCCTCATCCAAAGTCACTTTAAGAATGGAGAACGTATGTGGATTTTAGCTTTTCTAAAGACTAGACATGCAAGGTATTTTATTTGAGGTCACAATACATAACATTGGATGCCTGAACACCCCAGACCTACTTATACATTTGGGATAGAAATACAGACAGAATGGATGTTGTTAGTCTTTGCACAATCTAGCCGGATGTGGCCTTACCTCACCCGTAGTCATGAGAAGGACTGATAACTTTTTAGGGATGTTTTAGGAATATTTTTTGTTGTTGTCGGGGTTTTATTTATTTATTTATTTATTTTTAATAACTGCAAAAGGAATGTTGTTGTAGCTTTTGCACACACAAGACAGGTATTTTGCACAATCTAGCCGGATGTGGCCTTACCTCACCTGTAGTCATGAGAAGGACTGATAACTTTTTAGGAATGTTTTAGGAATATTTTTTGTTGTTGTGGGGTTATTTATTTACTTTTAATAACTGCAAAAGGAATGTTGTAGCTTTTGCACACACAAGACAGGTACGTATGCACTTCACCTGAAGTCACACGTTTTAATTCCAATCATACTCCCAACCGCCACAGGGACAGGGGGAAGTCCATGTCCGCTGATGAACTGTCCAGGATCAGCTCATCTGGCTCCGACAGCTCACCATCTGCTAGCGAGGTAACACGACAAACATTTTAGAAACATTGTTTTGCATTTTTATTTGTACTTGACACACAAATGGAGGCTGCTCATATATGAAGCCCCACAAGCTCTTGAGGACACATGCTTCATCAATCTCCCTGGCCCCCTGTCAGGTCAGGGTACGCTTGCGGAAAAATCCCAAGCGCAAGCGCCGCTTAGCCTACGCTCGCAGCGGCTTGATGATTAACTTTGCCGGCTCCAAGGAGAGCGAGTACTGGAGCTTTCCACTCCCCCCCTTCAGCCCACGCGCGTCTACCCTGAAGACTTCAGCCAGTAGTGTGGATGTCCGTGCCCTCAAATCTCAGGTCAAGGTACAAAGCAGAGAAGGGTGCTGCGCATTGCACGACTTGCATGTACATGTTCCCCAAAAAAAGATGAATGGCTGCAATGTTGTGGGACTTGTCGATGAGCATAAGAATCCGCTCTTGCTTATAGAAAGAAAGGGGAACGCTTCTTTCCGTTTCTACAGCTTGTTTCTGATTCATTGAGAAAGACCCTCAACATTCTGACTTGTGCATTAGGTGCGTTCTTGAATTGGGTACATCATTTGCCAAGTAACCAATACATGAACCTACAAAGTCCACACAGAAGGGCCTGTGCTGAGATTCGACTGTGAGGCAGCCATGCAAACCACTCGGACCGCGCTGCTCTACAACTCATAATTTAAAATTTTTTTTTTTTTTAGTTTATTTTTTCTCAAAATCATGTAAATTTATTGTTAATTCTATCAAAAATATTGTATTTTTCTTTCATTTGGGTGCTGCGCATTGCACGACTTGCATGTACATGTTCCCCAAAAAAAGATGAATGGCTGCAATGTTGTGGGACTTGTCGATGAGCATAAGAATCCGCTCTTGCTTATAGAAAGAAAGGGGAACGCTTCTTTCCGTTTCTACAGCTTGTTTCTGATTCATTGAGAAAGACCCTCAACATTCTGACTTGTGCATTAGGTGCGTTCTTGAATTGGGTACATCATTTGCCATCATTTGGCAAGTAACCAATACATAAACCTACAAAGTCCACACAGAAGGGCCTGTGCTGAGATTCGACTGTGAGGCAGCCATGCAAACCACTCGGACCGCGCTGCTCGACAACTCATAATTTTCCATTTTTTTTTTTTTTTAGTTTATTTTTTCAAAATCATGTAAATTTATTGTTAATTCTATAAAAAATATTGTATTATTTTGCTTTCATTTTTTTTCCTTTATTGTATTCTCATTTTTTATTTTGAGATAATCTTACTTATGTTAATTATAAACTCATATAAAATGATACAATCCAGGTTGATACAGTATCAACAGTTGAAGCCAACAAGTTGCTTACAATCTAAAAAATTACCTAAAAAAAAGCCTTTTTGTGTGTGTGTGGGTGTTTGTGCACACGCATGAGTATGTCATGTGTGTGTGTGTGTGTGTGTGTGTTTGTGCACACGCATGAGTATGTCAAAAAAAAAGGCTGGTGTCCATAACACATGGTGCAGTTTTGCATGACAATGCATTTCAGGGTGAAGGTCTTTAAATGCCATGTAAATGGTGTGGTGGTGGGAGAACTGCAGGAGATGGGCTGGGAGGACTTTTTTTTTCCGTCTGATTTAATTTATTATTTTTTTTTAAACCATTGACACGCTTGCATCCAACACAGATCCCCACAGAGCCTGACGGGTCCAGGTACAGCCTTCCTGCCAGGAGCTCCAATGAGGACTCAGGATTACAACGAACCAACCAATCGCAACTCACCACCCCTGAGAAGTACAACCCCACCCTCAACATCCACCCACTTGTTTGTGTCAATTGAAACATGTTGCTGAATGAAAATTGTTTTTGCCACAGAATTTGGTTTCTTAGTAGATTCCTGCGCAAGCGGGCGCCTAAGGTGTCCACCAACAATGACACTCCCTCGGAAGATAAAGCTGGTAAGTGTTTGTAAGCTCAAATCGAGATGGCTTGCTGAAGGCAGGATAAGCAGAAGTGTGATTTTATAATGCTTCCATCTGGTGGCCAGTAACTAACTAGACGCAGAAGTGTTGTTGGAGTGGGACAAGATATCAATTCTAGTCCGTCAATCGATCGGGGTAATGATCGGACACATCACAATACTGATGCTTGGTGCTGGTGTATTGATAGTCTATTGGAAAAGGTAATGTATCGCAATATTGGTATTTGTTGAGTTTATACACTGGGTCATAACAGATAGCATGACCTGTTGTTGGAGTGGGACAAGATATCAATTCTAGTCCATCAATCGATCGGGGTAATGATAGGACACATCACAATACTGATACTTGGTGCTGGTGTATTGATAGTCTATTGGAAAAGATAATGTATTGCAATATTGGTATTTGTTGAATTTATACACATATGGTCATAACAGATAGCATGACAACAGTATCATATTTCAATGCCAGTGGATTACCATACAACTAATATCGCAATCATTTATGTTGTTAACATGCTATACGTACAGTATATCCCAATATTATATATTGGGACATTCGTACAGTGCCCTTACAATATATGACAGTAACAGTATTTGGGTTTTGGTGTAGATTTAAGATTGTAGCAGATAAAAATTCAATATTCCGTGACATTTAAACAACTTAAATGTGTTTGTTTCCCTGTAGTGACCTTGCCCAGCTACAAGCCCCACTCCTACAAGATGCCCGAGCAGAACTCCGGGCGTGTGGTTCGCAACCCAACCATCAAAATCAGCCGGGCCACACGGGCCCTGCGGTGGAACGTCTCACTGGACCGTGAGATCCAAGACCCCAAAGAGCTGCGCAACCTGGACGAATTTCTCGGCAACCAAGTGAGGAAAACACCTTTTATGGTCAAAGTATGGTAAAAAAAAAAAAAATCGTCAAAGAAAACACAAATGTTCCAATCTTGTGGGCAAGTGTTATCTTTTGAAATTATTATTTTTCCCCAATCAGCTCTTATAACTGAATCATTTTATACCGTAAATGTGTGCACTTTCTCTTCTCTGCCTTTTCTTACTCAGGTGAATGACTTGCGAACACGAATCAAAGAGCTGTCACCAACAGAGAGCATCTTCCTCACGGCCACCATGCAGTTCAGAGAGACCATTAAAGGCATGTTCTCTGTGCAGGTCAGTGCACCACATGTCCATACTCTACCTGTACTATATACATGGAGACTCTGAAGTTTTTCTTCATTTAATGCTCTGTATGCACTCCACAGAAGCCTCAGATCGGCTACAAAGATCTAATGAAAGGCTACCAAAACAAAGTCAGCTCTCTTGCCGGCTCGAAGAATAAGAGCGAGGTGTCGCTTGTGATCAACTTGTTTCAGTCCATGCTGGACGGCTTCATAAGGGGCGAGATCAAGAGGATGGACTCGGAGCCGGTCAAGGTCACTTTTGCTGTCGTATTATGCATTTAAATGTGTTATGCCGAATACGATAAGAAAACACTCTGGCTTCCTTCAGGCTGCCAAGACGACAAAGAAGAGAAGGAAAAAGGACAAATGTGTAAGTCGACTGTGTAAATTCTTACAGATTTTACTGCAGGAGTTAAAATAAAGTACGTGCATGAAAACTTGCTAAATATTTTGTTTTTGTTGCGGCAGCCTGATGGTCCACTTGATCACCGCTTCAGCACCTACCAAGTGAACATCATGCAGTCATGTGACCTGTGCGGCTCCTACATCTGGGGAATGGAGAAAGCCTACATGTGCAGCGGTACGTTTACACGGGGACGGAAAAAAAAATTGACAAATAAGTTGAGGAAATATATCTAAAAAAATATTATGAATGACATACATAAATGTTTGACTCAAATGTTGTCACGATTTTATGTAATTTTGTATAGTGGCTGATATCCATTTAACACTTAGTGCTGACAGTAAAGAATGTTCAAAATGTTGAAACAATTTTTTTCATCCAGTTAATACGTTCGATCAGTGTTTTTCAAATTGTGTGTGACTGACTCGTGTTTGTCTTGCAGCCTGCAAGTTAATATGTCACAAGAAATGCTTGACCAAAATCATCACTGACTGCTCAACACGCTGTGCCCGGCAGGTAAGAAACCGAGGCCTTCAGGAAGTGCTCAAAACAAAAATATACACGCACATGCGCGTGCACACACACAACTGATGTCATATTTCTTTGTGACAGGATGACAGCGTACCCGGTGGCCTTCACTTCGGGGTCCACGTTTGCGTCCTGACCAGCAAGGCCAACCCCGTGCCCAAGGTGGTGGAGCTGCTGCTGATGCACGTGGAGATGAACGGCCTCTACACCGAGGGCATCTATCGCAAGTCGGGCTCCGCGTGCCGTGCCCGGGAACTCCATCAAATCATGGAGATGAGTAAGTTGCGCTAGATCGACGCACAATTACACATAGCTTGATATACTGTATCACAATAATAATGTATTTGGAATAACATTTTTCGGAAGAAAATACATTCCAAATTCACTCCTGGGTCAAAATGTCACGATCATAGAAATTTCATTACACATAGCTTGATATACTGTATCACAATAATAATGCATTTGGAATAACATTTTTCGGAAAAAAATGCATTCCAAATTCCAAATTCACTCCTGGGTCAAAATGTCACTATCATAGAAATTTCATGAACTCAGTGATTTGGTTGTGGTAGTTGCACATGCTAAAACATCTGACACACTAACAAGAGCCAAAGCTATAATGCTCAAAATAAAAGGAAATATCTTCAATTGTTCTCTCGACAATAACACACATTTGATTAGAAATACACATCAGATGAAAATTGCATCAAAATGTTCTAGAAAATTTTAAAAATGCAAGTTAGGGTTAGGGTTAAGTAGTTTAAAACAAGTTCTACCATCAAAGGACAGTACCATTTTAAAGTGCGTAAACTTTGATTTTCAAGAGCATGTTTGGATTAGCAAAAGGAATGTACCACCCGTGTGAATTTTTTTTTATTCCAATTGAGGTGTTTATATGGAGCATTTTCATTCCATTTCCTTCTAATCGGAATACATGGCTGCATGTTAACCCCAGCTGCTGTTGACCCTCTTTTGATGGCATCACGAAAAAAAGTACTTGTGGAGAATGTACCGGTACCTTTGGTGCTTCTTGAGAGAAAGTCTCAACTTTTGGTGACGCGCACTCTTTTTCTCGCATTAGATCCCGAGGCGGCCAATCTGGAGAACTACCCCATCCACACCATCACAGGCCTGGTGAAACGTTGGCTCAGAGAGCTTCCTGACCCGCTCATGACTTTCTCTCTCTACAGTGACTTCCTGCATGCTGTGGGTGAGTCCGTATGAATGTGCAATGGTGACCATCTTTTCCTGAAATCGTTCAGCCCCATCTCTGATGTTCTGGAAGTTCATTGACCCTTTCGCTTCTTTGTTTGCAGAGTTTCCAGAGAGGGCTGAGAGAATACGGGCAGTGTACCAAAAGGTGGATGAACTTCCCCTCGCCAATTATAACACGTTGGAGCGGCTCATCTTCCACCTTGTCCGGTAAAAAGACATTTTATTCAGCTGTTACGAGCATCATTTTAAATTGTCGACATTAGCGTTTGAAACGCCAGAAAATATCTGAGACATGCTGGTCGGCTTTGTGTCACGAGGAAGCCAGTGCGGACGTGTGTGCCTTCGATCTTTTTTTCCAACGCTGAATTTGTGTAAATGTTGTCCGAGACTTGTAGCGTCCACGTGTAGGTCGACGTGATCAATCAATCGCAGATTTCTGCACCAAACGTGCGTACAAGTTGTGTGTTTGTTTTCCAGGGTTGCCAATGAGGAAAATTACAACAAGATGACGCCAAGCTCCCTCGCCATCGTCTTCGCCCCATGCATCCTGCGCTCCCCCAATTCCGACGACCCCTTCCTCGGCATGAAGGACGTGGCCAAGACGACCACGTGAGTCACAATCACAAGAATCACAAGTGCTTGGGTTGCGCCTTGACGTGCGTGTTTGCATGTGCGTGTTCAGGTGCGTGGAAATCCTCATCTCGGAGCAGTTCAGGCGCTACAAGGAGAAGCTGCAGAACATCCAGGAGCTGGAGTATGCTGAGGCTTTGGCTGTCAATCAACTCAAGCTGAAGAGACAAAACACGGTAATAATAATAATAAAAATAATAATAATAATACACAATATTAAAAGTACCGGTAGCTCAATAACATTACAGAAAAAATACACACAAGAAATACAAAAAAGAAAAATATCAACCAAAAGTATACTAATATTTAAAGAAAAAAAAGGAAACAAACTAAAGTTTGACATTAAGCACATTAGGTACACCATCACAATTTAATGACAGCTAAAGCAATAATGCTTAAAATATTACAGATAAATATATAAAAATACCATAGTATCTATATCATACAGTGACTGCCCAAAGAGCTTTAAGCCGCTTATTCACTTATGCACCTATTGAGACTCGTCACGTAATGTATGGCTTTTCTCTTGTCTCTCTGCAGATTGTGGAAAAACCATCTGAACTGGAAATTCCCGACCAGACTGATTCAGATGAGCGGACTCTCATTGAAAGAATCAAGTCCATCAAGCAGGAAAAGTAAAAGCCGATGGCTTCATGTGCATTGTTTGGTTTACTCTGTTTGTGGGTATTTAAGCCTTTGTGTAACCCCTCGCTAGGTTGGACCTGGCCTGCACATTACCCGATCTGGAGCAGGAGAACTCGGACAATGAGATCCTGGACTCGTCGTCGTCCATGAGCACGGAGAGTTTGGATGAACGCCTCGGCAGTCTGGACTCAGAAGGTTAGTAAGGTGGTAAGGTGGTCTAACCTTCCTCTTGGCCTCTTGGAACTGAAAATGTTGATTTTTTTTCAGTTTATTTATTTTTTTCTCACACATTCTCACACAACTGGGACACATTGCTTCAGGGGGCGGCAAGGGGATGGGGTTGGACCGCAGCTTAACTAATCAAAAAAAGTTATTATCACACTGTTCAGTATTTGTGTTTTCCATTCTCTTGCTTTCTCTCTCAATATATTCTGTGTTTGTCTTGTTTTAAGTGTATTTCATGACGTGTCGTAAATACTCCTATACAATATTTAAATTGGGCATTTCTGTATCATAAATTTTGCGTATTGAGTGTGTTTTCCTGTCCAACTTCTTTTTTTATTTTTATTTTTTTTTAAAGCACTCTCTTTCATTCATCTGAAAAACTGTTTAGGATGTTATGTAGCATTCCACTAGACTGATGTGTAGTCGCTCCACAGTGTTGTGTGCATCCACTTCACATGAACTGTAAGGTAGAGGTGTGTAACATCTTTTATGTATTGTGTTTGGAGCAAAGGCAAGCATGCCACCGGCAGTGGACTCAACAGGCCAAGTCAGACACGTGCCAGAAGACGTCATGAAGCCCGAGTGCTTCGCCGCATCCAACTCTTCCACCGTGGATGACAAACAAGCGTTGAGCAGGAGCTTTGACAACCTGGAAATTCCTTATATTGATGAAGAGGAGAGGGAGGAGGAAGACGCGACAGTCAGTTAACACCACCCTTGTTGTGGTGTGCACTTTTGTCTGCCAGTGTTGCAATGGAAACACTGATAATCAATACAACGTATCTCGCCACAATAGTTCACTTTCAAGGTGGCAAACCTATGTCCCGGTGTCCATATGCAGCACCGCCAGAGCATCTGATGCAATCCGCCATGCCATTCTGAAAAGACACAAAGATTTGACCCACAAATTAATAAACATTTGCATGTATTTTTTTTTCATCAATTTTAGCATGCCCGTCAGACGACATCAGCTCCCGTTTGAGACCGACCCAATCTATTGTCATTTTACTGTTTTGTCAAGGTACTAAATATGGATTACATCCACAAGGATGATATATGGATTGTATGAGCAAAACTTTTTTTTTACTGTACAAAAATAACAGTTCTAGTACTGTACATAGTATTTCCAGCTGCTGTTTTGTTGTAGTGCATTGACTGATCCAATTTTCCTATTGTTACCTTTTAGACTGACATTTCCTCGTCTTAACATTTTTCCTTCCATATATGCATGCCTGTACATCTTCAAAAGGTAGCATCTATGGCAAGCTAACTACTTCTGACCTGTTCCTTGAAATAAACTGACCATTTTCTTATTTGCGTCCTAGAATGGTAAAAATGTAAATCAACACATAATTGACTTTCAAAGAAAGCAATATATCAAAAAGTGGTTAATACAGGTTTGGTGTAAATCCTGTAAAAAATTGCAGGGGTTCAGAAAGGGTACGATAAATTCTGTAAAAATTAAACAAGTTACATTAAGACTATATGCCAATGTAAATCCCACAAATAAATAAAATACAAAGTTAAAGGATTTGTAATTCTCATTTAAGTTGCAGGCATAAAACAGTCTTTGAAAACCGTCACTTTTGGGTAATATGTGACTCTCCTTTGTCTCCTCTCATCATTTACTGAATTTCCACATTATCGTAAATGTGTTGCTTTATTGTTTTTACTCCACAAATACGCATCAAAACTCATACTAAGGCAAGGGGGCGGAGGGTAAGCATATTTACCGTTTTTGGCTATTTCCGTTGCGTCACGAACCCGCCATGAACTGCTCTGTCCTCTGATTCTGAACCGACTGATTTCTACTCGACCAATCTGAAGCCGGCTCGCCGTATTGACCAATCGTCGGCCTCGAATGCATGGATTCAGGGGGTGGGGCCATGTTTGGTTCCGGAAGAGTGCTCGAAGCGAGGTGGTGTCGCTATGGTGGAGTTGAGGAATCATCTCATTCGTTAGCTCGCTGCTATCTGTTTTATTCTGGGTGTAATGAGCGTAGCCATCGGCCTCAGAGACTTGTTTTGTTATTGAGGCGCCACCACAATGACCCGCTGACCACCGAGGATGGACAGCAGTGAACAATGACGGGGGAGAAAAAGAAGAAGAAGCGGCTCAACCGCAGCATTCTTCTGGCCAAGAAAATTATCATAAAAGATGGAGGGAGTGTGAGTGAAATATTTATTTATTTCTCGAAATGTAAGTCGCTGTCCAAAATTGTTTAGCTTTTTTTTTTAAAATAACACATGTGATTGTAGCCGCGTTTGTGTGTTGAATTTGTGTTAGGGGGTTAATGTTAACCGTTAGACAGGCACTGTGCAGCCACGGCTAGGCGGCTAATGGTTAGCTCGCGGGCCTAGCGATGTATGTTGGCTGTTGGTTTCACACGTCAACTCGGCTCTTGTCGGGACTTTCCCAACCTTAAACCGAAGCAAATCATTAGCTCACGTACGCTAGCTCTCGGTGCTTCCCCCCACCCCCCCAAAAAAAAGCGAGCAATCCAACGTTGGTAATGTCTAGCTCGCCCAAATTTGACCACCAGCGAGAGTGATGGGAGACGCTAATCTAAGCTAGTTAGCTGACGTCAAGTTCCGCGACTCGTCGTGACCGATTTGTATCTACCGCTTTGAATACAGATGAAATTTGTAACCTATGAATTACTAAATAAAAACATTATAGACAAGACGTCGCACACACGGCACAACGGAGCTCACCGTTTTTACCTGTTTGCTTAGTTAGTACGTCGGCTCTCGTCGTGACCGATTTGTATCTACCGCTTTGAATATTCAGATGTAACCTATAAATTACTAAATAAAAGCATTATAGACAAGATGCCGCACACATGGCACAACGGAGCTCACCGTTTTTACCTGTTTGCTTAGTTAGCACGTCGGCTGTCAAAACACGTATGCTACTTTTACCGATCTGATGTGTACATAGTTATATAAATGTTCAAAACAAGGCGGCTTCACATATATAGCGTATCTCATACTCCAGGCAACTCAATGTGCTTAACATCATTAAATGTACAACATTTTAAAAATTATTTACAAACAAAAGTTACAAGATATAAAAGCAAAAGTACAAAAAGTATCTTCTAAAACGACTTAAAAACGAATCTTCACATATATAGCGTATGTCATACTCCAGGTAACTCAATGTGCTTAACATCATTAAATGTACAACATTTTAAAAAATATTTACAAACAAAAGTTACAAGACATAAAAGCAAAAGTACAGAAATAAAAAGTATCTTCTAAAACGATTTAAAAACGAACCTACAGCGCAAGAACAAGTTATGGAAAAATGGATTTTAAAAAATGCTTTAAAAGACCTGAATCATGGGTATGGGGGGCAGCATAGTTTTTAAACTCGAGTTAAAAGCATCTACACTTGGGATTGACTTACCTTTAAAAACATGTTGGACTACAGCGCAAGAACAAGTTATGGAAAAATGGATTTTAAAAAATGCTTTAAAAGACCTGAATCATGGGTATGGGGGGGGGCAGCATTTTTTTTTAACCTCGAGTTAAAAGCAGCTACACTTGGGATTGACTTACCTTTAAAAACATGTTGGAGTGCAATTGTCGCCAAGTCATGAATCATTTCAATAGAAGTTATTAAGAACAGGTTTAGCTTGAGCATTGCCTCTGAAAATGTGTATGTCATAGTTAAAACAACTCAACCCAATTCATATAGCACTTGAACGATAACCGCTGCTGTAACAAAGTGTTGTATTTAAAACCTGTATTAGTTCGATCATCGATGACTAAATAAAAAAGTATTTTCCAATTTACAAGACCTCGTTTTACGATGGCATCTAACATACTGGAGTTGTCGAGTTGTTTTGTGAAGCCGATAGAGGAGTAACATTGAAGTCTCCAACGACCAGTCTGTGAGTGGTCCGAATAATGTGACAGCGAGTTTGGGTTTGGTTATGAAAGCTTCTTTCTCGGGACCTGTGGTGAGCATTTAACTGAAAAGATGTGGCTCCATTCCAGTGGGGCCCTCGCTTCCAATAACGGCCATTGTGCCGACTGTCGAAGCCTCCATTATCACCCGTGCGCTCGTGAATAGCAAAGCAGCCCATTATTATTTCATGTGGATGCTGCAACATCCATCGACAGGAGGCTGTCACACATTGTGTGCATGGATGGAGGCGTTGTTGTCACATTGGCGACGTGCACACAGGCGAGTTGAATGGCTGCGAGTGTCTTTAAGTGTATGTTTTGTAATATCGTTCTGTTTGCAAATGGATAAACCCCATCACAAACTGGTCGGGCAAGAGTTTTTTAAAGTATGTTTTAACTGTAAGGCAAAAGTCCAAAAAGTTGTGAAATAAAACTACTGTCCCACTAATATGTTAGTGCTGTCACTATCAAATATTTGGGGAATTGATTTCAACAATGCACAATATACATATATTTTTAGTTTTTTATTAAAACAGCGAGCCCAAAACTTTTTAGTCACCATTGTCATGTGAAGACATATTTTGAAGGACAGACATTATAAAAACAAACGATGATAAATATCACTCACCGTTTCCTACATTAGCTTCAACGAGCCCAGTCGTATGCCGTATTCCGGCACAGTGCCGTGTCTATGATGAATAAAGTTCTCGTTTGTTGTCCGCGCATTACTGGATTCAGTAATCTGGTGAAGACGCTTCACTTTGCCACCTCCTGTCCGATTTAAAGATCATGTGTTTTCTGTGCAGCCACAGGGAATCGGTGAGCCCAGCGTCTACCATGCCGTGGTGGTCATCTTCCTGGAGTTTTTTGCGTGGGGTCTCCTCACTACCCCCATGCTCACGGTAAACGCCGCATGTATTTTCATCTTTTTTAATGCTTTCAACCCATTCTACTTGCACAGGCCTTGAGTTGTTGGCCTGAGAGCCAGATGAAGCAAAGCTAACTATGTGCGCACGTAACAACGTGTGGACTCTGAACTGCGCCGCCATTGATTTGAACTCCACTTTCCCCTCCACCTTTCCTCTTTGCGTCCTTCATATGTATCGTGATTGTATTTGTGCAGCACAACAATCTCCAGCATTACACCGTGTTATCTGCGTGTTGTTCTGTAGGTACTGCACCAGACGTTTCCCCACCACACCTTCCTGATGAATGGCCTCATCCATGGCGTCAAGGTAGGATTTGTCGAGACGAGAGATACGCACGATGAAAATGTCATATCACCATTATAGTGAGCATAATAGTCAGTATTGTCGCCATTGCTAAAGTGGCCCAAGTCATCCACGAACACTTGGGTTGTCTAAAATACGGTGTTTTAAAAATGGCAAAAATGTATGCGACAAAATATAGACCAAAAGTATCAGCCAAACATTTTGGAACATAATACACTATTCTTACAGAAAAATATCAGAAAATAATATGAAAATAACTGGCAAAAATATCAGTTGATTGGTTGACATATTAGTTGAAAAATACACAAATAATAGAGTCAAAAATGTCCAAGGTTAAAATTAAAAATCTGAAAAACGATAGTTGAAAAATACATGTTACGACTTGTCACAAATATTAGATAGATGGGTAGATCTTGTTACAGAGAAATAAAATATCTGAAGAAAATCAAGCCCCTTCGACAATAAATTTTCAACTGTTACATACGAATGTAATGAAATGCACAAAAATGTTGCAGAAACTCTCTCGTGTCCATTTGTTTACTTTTTCTTCATGCTTCATCTATTTGATTTTCCATGTTTCCCCATCCGCAGGGCTTGCTGTCATTTCTCAGCGCCCCCCTCATCGGGGCCTTGTCGGACGTTTGGGGCCGCAAATCCTTCCTGCTGCTCACGGTCTTCTTCACGTGCGCACCCATCCCGCTGATGAAGATCAGCCCATGGTGAGCGAGTGAATGAAAATGTGAGCTGGCACAGCCGGACACCGATCTTGCTCTGACCCGGATTTTCCTCTCCTTCTCCAGGTGGTACTTTGCTGTCATCTCCATGTCCGGGGTCTTCGCAGTCACTTTCTCTGTCATCTTTGCGTACGTCGCCGACATCACGCAGGAGCATGAGAGGAGCACGGCGTACGGCTTGGTGAGGAAATCCAATGCGATCCCATTACAACAATCTCCCTTTTGCCCAAGGTGCAAAAGCCAGTCAGTCAACTCCGTCTCAAAAACAGGACACGCAAACCTGCCAAACTAAAACTAGTAGTGGCACAAACAGATGGACCCGAATGCACCACACGAGCGTGTTTGATCAAAATCTTGTTCAAAAGAGATTGTCGGAAAAGTGTGTATATAAAAATACCTACCGTTCATTATCCTGACTTTACATTGTTGTTTTGTTAGTGACCTGTGCCTTGAGATTTTTTTTTTTTTAATGTAAATTGGGTAAATTAGCTTGAATGAAACACAAGTATATGGTACCAGTACAAGTTAGAAGTACCAAAGCAAAGGTGTTTAAGTTGCTAAGTGTCTGGTAAGCTGTTCATGATGTCATTATGAGTGGAAGACTATTGTTGTCTTGAAACCAAGGGACTAAACAAGCAGCTTTCTGCAACCCTAGTTAAGACTGTGGCTCACAAACTACTCTGGCCACCAAACGGCAATTTTTTTGCCACACCCTCTTCCCCGTCAGGTGTCAGCCACGTTTGCGGCCAGCCTGGTCACAAGCCCGGCCATTGGCGCCTACCTGTCAGTGGCCTACGGCGACACCCTGGTGGTGATCTTGGCCACGGCCATCGCGCTGCTGGACATCTGCTTCATCCTGGTGGCCGTGCCCGAGTCACTTCCCGAGAAGATGAGGCCGGCGTCGTGGGGTGCGCCCATCTCTTGGGAACAGGCTGATCCCTTCGCGGTGAGTCGGCCCCTTCGGCTGTGCTTGTCATTTTTAATGCTCAAAAAAAGATTAGCAGACACGGTTTTTAAATAAATGAATAAAACACAGGGATGACTCGACGTGGATGTCAACGCAGTTTAACATCGACTGATGATTGGCAAGGAAGCAGATAAAATAATGGATTAGAATGGCTGCCACACACCTATTGCCCACAAGACCTTATGTGACCTTATGTGTGGGTTTTTTTTTCTTTTCAGTAGTATTAAAACATGCGCAGATAAAATAATGGATTAGAATGGCTGCCACACATCTCCTATTGCCCACAAGACCTTATGTGTGGGGTTTTTTTTCCAGTAGTATTAAAACATGTCTATGTTATTGTTGACGTTATCACCTCGCAGTCTTTGCGCAAAGTGGGCCAGGATTCGACGGTGCTGCTCATCTGCATCACAGTGTTTCTCTCCTACCTCCCTGAGGCGGGCCAGTACTCAAGCTTCTTCCTCTATCTTAGACAGGTAAAACTCTTTGACGCTCAATTGATGACATCATTGGGCGTGATTCTTGATTGTCGCTTAGAAACGCCAATACAGGCCGATCAGATGACGCTTATTGTTTTTAGGTTGTTCTAAATTGCATTCCCTCCCCCCACTCCCCTTCGAAATAGAAATAATTGTTTTCGTCGACACAGTTGCCATCATGGACCCCCCCGCCCCCTTTTGTTTTACTGTACAGGCAATGTTTTAACATTCTTAATAGTCATACATACAATATATTTAGTACTATGGGGATGAGGGCCGAGCCCTGTCGTGAATAGCAAAAATCTGTACATGATTGAAAACCGGTCCCCCCTTTATGTTGATTTGTGCGTGTTGATGCGCATCAAGTAGCAACAGCAACCTAAAAAAGAGAGGATCATAAAACATCAACATGCATCTTGTATGTAGACACTCATGCTCCTGGGTTACTGGGAGTCACTTACATTATGTAAATGGTGTCCTATCAAACTGGTCGATCCAGTCCGAGACACTTGGCATTGAGTTCCTTGCGTGGCCTCTACAAGTGTGACAAATGGTAGCGCGTGTGGGCTAACTGTACAAATAGACAAGTTGAAGCTACTGACTGTTCTTGATGAAGTTAATAAAGCACACTCTGACCTCTAACCTCTTTTATCCAAACACTCATCAGGTCATCCGCTTCTCGTCGGAGACGGTGGCCGCCTTCATCGCCGTAGTGGGGATCCTCTCCATATTAGCTCAGGTAATCGGGTTATTACTATTACTATTAATGAGAGTCTAGTCAGAGGCGTGCTCACGGCTTCGGTGCGTGTGCGTGTGTGTGTGTGTGACATTTAGACGGTAGTGCTGGGCATCCTGATGCGATCCATCGGGAACAAGAATACCATCCTGCTGGGCCTCGGCTTCCAGATCCTCCAGCTGGCCTGGTACGGCTTTGGCTCGCAGCCCTGGTCAGTAAGCGTCAACAGCAGCCCCTACATGTTTTTCTGGTTTTCAAAGCTATTCGTTGGGTTCAGATCCAAGAATAATGGCATGCTGCGATGCAGTAGCACCCGACCGACATTTCGACTCAATAATAAGGGCAGATCTGGTTGTATTTTAATTTTTCCCCCAAAAAATGTTCGTTTTAAGTGTTGTTTTGAAGCGTCAGCTTCCCATTGTTATTGTAGTTCCACCTTTCGCCACCAATGGGAGACATTGACTAAATCAGCAGATGTATTTTTTTCATGAACCCGAGACCAGCGGTTTTATCTACCAGAGGCCATTTCAGGTTCTCTATCAGGGGCCATGGTAAATTTATCTTCATAGGTGCTGCTGTGTTGGTGAGCAACAAAGCTCAAATGGCCTCTGCATTTAACCATCGATCTATGAATTCGCCGTAGTTGTGATCGTGCTGGGATGACCCAATGAATTGTTTAGTTAGCTGATGTCACGGTATAATCCTCCTGTGTTGCAGGATGATGTGGGCCGCTGGCGCCGTAGCAGCCATGTCCAGCATCACGTTCCCTGCCATCAGCGCCATTGTGTCCCGGAATGCCGACCCGGACCAACAAGGCGAGCAAGCTCCCCTTTTGTCTGCAAGTCATTATGCGAACAACGCGGCAAGCGCTGACCCGCCGCCCGCCATTTCCCTTTTTTGTCCTTGCAGGCGTGGTCCAGGGCATGATCACGGGGATCCGGGGCCTGTGCAACGGCCTGGGTCCTGCTCTCTATGGCTTTGTCTTTTACCTTTTCCACGTGGAGTTGACCGACACAGACGCCTCCGAGAAAGGCGGCAAACCCAATATGGCTAACCCCACGGATGAGGTGAGTACGAACAGGGAAGACAAATGACACTCTTTGAAGGGTCCACGGAAATAGCCGAACCATGGCTTCCTTTTGTGGGTGTACTCATGATGGACACGCCTACCAAAGTTCAAGTTGCTAAGTCAAACTGGCTTCGGGCGCTGAATTTTCCAAATATTCGTGGGGGATGTTAACAAAGAAACATAAGCTAAAAAAAAGGCCCCCTTCTAATTAAATAGCTGACTTCCGATGTCTTTTCGGGCATTTGCTTTGGTTGACAAAGCAGCCAAACATCGGCTGTGTCCAAATTCACAGGCAGGGTCCTCCCAAGACCGCCTGCGAATTTGGACACAGCCGATGTCATTTGTATGCACGGTACCAGCCTGCGACACAAGCTCCAAGGTTGCCACTTAGCGCATTGTAGCGGCACACGCAATCAGTCCCCATGGCTCACGTTCCTGCGGTCTCCCTCAAACCTTCCTTCCAGAGCGCCATCATCCCGGGCCCTCCTTTCCTATTCGGCGCCTGCTCAGTGCTGCTCTCCCTGCTGGTGGCGCTGTTCATCCCCGAGCACACGGGGCTCGGCGCCCGCCCCGGCGCCTACAAGAAGCACAGCAATGGGGCTCAAAGCCACTCGCACAGCCCGCAGGGCAGTGGGGCCGAGGGGAAAGAGCCTCTGCTGGACGACAGCAGCGTATAACCTCGGACCACTTTTTGAACTCTTGTGCGAGTGTGAGTGTGTGAGTGGCGCTGGGTTTTCAATCTGTTACTAACTCGCCACACGCTGCCAGTCTGGAGGGAATAGCTAGCAGGGACCCGGCCGGGAAAGCAGACCACTGTAGAGACCACATGGATCAGCTCAAAGCTGTCGTCTTCGCTGTTCATTAGGGTTGCAAACCGGTGCAAGATTTCTGGTCATTTTCCATGGGAACTTAAGATGGGGAATTTTGGAAATTAATAAGCATAAATGTAAATATCTAATTTTTAATTTAAAAAAATAGAAAAATAAAGGCCGTGATTTATTTGGATATGTAGTTTAAAATATTTTATTGCACAATCAAGTCTGCAGGACAGAAGCCTAAACATTGACTTAAATATTACTCACCCCTCCGCCAAATCCATTCAGAAATGAACTTAAATACCCCCCCCCCCCCCACCAAAAGAAAGTCCCGTTCAAAATGCAAAATCTCGAGCGTGCCTCTGAATTTTTGCATAACCCTTTCATGCAGAAGGGGGACCATTCTCTGGCCTCCCCCGCATCTCGGCAAAGATTTTGATATCTGTGACTTTTCTGCTATTTTCACATAGATGCGCCGTTCTTAGATCCAAATGCAAATTGGAAAAGAATTGGGCTTCAGGAAAGAACACTTGGTTCTTCGTAAATGTCAACCAAAACCATTTCCCTCACATCATCGCAAACAAACATACATTGCCGAAAAGTCCTTGTTTATCACACTATCCACAGTTACGGTTTCATGAAATAAAATTGACACATAAACCAGTCTTGCCCACTACACTCACAGCATAAGCAGAAACCAAATCGTCAGTAAAGCAGTGTTTAGGACTGTGAAGAATTAAGTTTTTGTGTCGTCGTGCGACTGAAACTTTTCTGGCCAAGCTGCTGCTTTCATGTGATGTATCACATCCAAAATATGCTTCTTCTAGTCAGGATTCAGCTCTTCCTTTCTCAATTTATATTTAAATTTCCAAATAAGAGCCAACCTTAAGTTTGGTCATTTTCCCATAAATTCCCTTTAATTCCCATGGATTGTTTACAATTTAAAAAAAAAACGGATGGAATTTTACAACTGTACCGTCGCTGTTCATTCTCTCAACAAACACCGACACACAAACACACACTGTACACTGAGTTGTTTTTTTTCCCCATTTTTTTTAATTCCACAAATGTTGCCGTCAAGTGACTTAAGATGACTATCTAGAATAAATCCAGATGTATATGGATATTACGTAACCTGTATGACGACTGTGGTCTGACAAGGCGCTGTAATCTGATCATATTGCTCCCATCGGAGCCCCCCTACATATCCAATTTCCTGCCTTTCTTCTCAGTTTTATTCCCCCCCCCCAATTTACTGCATTGCCTTGAGTTTGTCCTGTCCTCTGTACCTATTCCCCCCCCCAATTTTTGTCTTGTGTGTCTTGACTTTTTGCCTCCTCCCCACTTCTTGACATGTTTGCATTTTCCCCAACTTACCCGGTATCTGAAATTACACCCCAATTTAGGCCCTTTATACTCCACTTTGTTTTGTTCTTTCGCCCATTTCCTGTCGTGTCTCCATTTTGACCCCGTTCCTCCTAAATTTCTTGCCTAGTCTTTCTATTTTGGCCAACTTCCCGCCTCGTCTCTCACATTTTCCATCGTTTCCTGCATTCAGTCACCTGAATGTTGGACCTTGTCTCCATTTTGCCCATCAATCACTTTTAGCTTTAATTTTGCCCTTTTTCGTGCCCCATTTCGGATTCCCCCCCCCCCCCCGCGCTTTTCTTCCTCACTTCCTCCCTCATCTCCCAGTTCCCACCTTGCGTTTCCATTTTCAACCACTTCCTCCCTTGTGTCTCCATCACAGGTTATATTTTTAGCGCCTCAAGATTGAAAACATACAAACACATTAGGCGTTACCATAAAATGGACAGATAGAATACCATCTGTGAACTCTGAAAAATGGACCCCCCACTCTATTTTGTGGCTGGGAACCTTCACTCTCGGTTAAGAGTTTCAGTTCAGCATGATGTCACTCAAAATGTTTCGAAATTTTGATTTGACACAAACTACAATTGCTTCATAAGCTACCAGATATCATGATTTACGGCTGCATTTCATCTTTAGCTCCATGAATCTCGATTGTTTTTGTGTCAATGTAAACGCTTCAAGTGCATTTCAAAGTCACTCGCCAACCATGTTTAACATTTGTGCCAATATGTTATTTTTTTGCTTTTTTTTTTAATCTTTTTTTTTTCTGCCGAAAGCAAGACATCGTGTTTTTTATCTATATAAATATGTATAGCCTTTTAAAACTTTTGTTGTTTTTTTTTTTTTTTTTTGGAATGGTATAAAAATGGGACGTCCATCTCCTTTCACATGACAAGCATTTCACTTTGGTTAATTGTGTTTTATTCTTCTTCATCACGGAACGTTTCAAAATGAACTGTACTATGGTTGGACAACCTGCAGCGTGTGGGCCTCTTTACAGGCCACAGCCAGTGTTTGATGCAGTCCACCATTATTATTATTATTTTTAAGTTATGTCCAAGAAGGGGATGTTATACACCAATGTATATTTTTTTTAGTTATCAAATACTGGACCAAAATGTACATTTGGAGCTACACATTGTAAACTGTCCAGCCTGAGTAGGCTGTATAAAGTGACCTAAAATGACAGATTTTGGAAGACCCCCCTCCTCAACCGCCCTTATTTTTTATTTTTATGACACCCCCCCTTCCCCATTTCGGTATGAGTGGGTCTAGTTGCACATTTGAACAAAGTACAACAAAACAGGAAGCGAAAATCCAACCGCCCTCTCCCTCTTTCTCTGTGTGCCTAAAATTAGCCAAGAAAATGAAAAATGGCGACAATTAAGTCGAGGTGGTTATGATGTAAATATGGGAAACTAATGAAGCTATTTATTAAAGGTTTATTGTACAATCCAAGCACTTCAATTTGTTTTTGTGCAATGATCAAAGGAAGCATCCATGTACCTATTTTTTTTTTGGTCATCCTTTTTCTAAAAAGCGAAAAGTAATACAATACATACCACTTGTAGTATCCCCTCAAGTGACGGGGTAAGTTCATGGCATTTATTTCTCATCTTGTAGTCATGATGTCCGTTGCCAAGTTTGTCTCCTTCGAATATTTGTAGCAAAAATCTGGCAGCACAACATGGCAGCCTCCTGCAGGGGCCCTCTGAAATATAATTAGCGATTACTTCACCTATAGTTGCATAAAACATACACTTCTGTGATAGAATGTATTTTTATGCAGGTTATGGATATTGATGCTGGGTTTTTGAAGTAATGACGATTGGATGATGTCCGTTGCCAAGTTTGTCTCCTTCGAATATTTGTAGCAAAAATCTGGCAGCACAACATGGCAGCCTCCTGCAGGGGCCCTCTGAAATATAATTAGCGATTACTTCACCTATAGTTGCATAAAACATACACTTCTGTGATAGAATGTATTTTTATGCAGGTTATGGATATTGATGCGTTTTGAAGTAATGAAGATTGAGAAATAACCAAAGTTGTACACACTGTCCCTTTAAGCTCGATTTCTCGGAATGTGGAGCGGAGGGCCTCCTCACACACTTCAATGCACTTTTGCGGTCGCAATACTTGACGGTTCAAAGGTGGGGAGGGTCACGTATTGTGACGCAGACTTGCTGTCATAGCATATTTACTGCGCAGGCCTCAATTAGGCCACGGGCGTCCCACGGCTGCAAAAAAAATGCGCGCCTCACCCCGAGCATCCATCACGCGCCTTGTATTTTTCCAACGGGCGCCTGGTGGCAGCAGGAAGGAATCTTGCCCCTGCGAGGCGGGAAGGGGAAGCCGGGCCCGGACCTGTTGAGCGCTGGTGTTTGACGAAGAGCCCCGGGATGAATCACGCGTGAACCTTATTGTTCTCGCAATCGGGCGGGAGTGCGCGAAGCCAAAGTTCCCATGATCTGTACGCACACTGCACATGACTTCTGGCCACATGTTGCAGCATTGACGATGAACCCGCAGAGATATGGCGGCGTCCTTGCACCTTTTTTTTTTTTTTTTTTTTTTGTGTGTGTCCTCTGAGGACAAAGCTATATAAAAACATAGCCCTCGCCACTGTTTCTATGCCTTTCAGTCCGCTAGTTTAATGCTAATGCAAAGTAGCATCTATATGTTGTGTGCTTTATCCCTTTAACCAATGACGTGAACGTAAATAGTGCAGTAACACTTGCACACAGTCAATGTAACAGTACTCACAGTCATGTTTTCTTTATCCTCTCCAAAGAATGGCTAATATTAGTTGCCTACTGATAAAGTGAGAGAGAGACACACGTCTCAAAGAACGATACGCTGTCTGTCTACCAGTCTTATACTGCCCCCAGGTGGCCAAGGTGAGCAGACCGGACAGAACAGCACGATGACCATTAAATTGCCGCTGTGTGACCAAAACTGTTGAATTATTTTGATTTCTTTTTTTTTTTTTTTTTAGCATTGATTCCGAATCTGACCTCGTTTTTTTTTCTCGAGACCAGCTTTTCTTAATCATCATTATCAGCATATAATAAAAACAATATAATGTAATCTAATAATATATGTTTAGGATTTAATAGTTAAATTCAGCAACAGGCGGATTTTTTTTTCTGAAACATCCATCCATCCATTTTCCGTTCCGCTTTATCCTCCTCGGGGGGTGCTGGAGCCTATCCCGGCTGTCTTCAGGCAGTAGGCGGGGGACACCCTGAACCGATTGCCAGCCAATCGCAGGCCATAAACAATAACGCTTGGTAAAATGCATATTGTGCTAGCTTTTATACATCAAACTTAAAAGCAATGTAAATATTTGTTTGAATGGTGTGCTAAAAAAATGTAAAGACATTTTTCAAATCAGCGTCGAAAATTAATTCGGGGAACATGAAACCCTCTCTGGTTAAAATGTGTGAACCCTCACCCTTGAATTGGAATATTATTTAAATTGCTAATTTGTATTTTACTTGTTGTACTGCCTGATATCGTCAACATTTTCCTCCAAATCAGCTCCGGGAATACTTTGTGCTGAGCCACACTAAATTCAGACCGATCTGTGTAAAGATTTTCACAGGACAATCAAAAAAGCATTGTTGAAAAGCGGAACGCGACTACACCCCCCCCCCCCCCCCCCCGCCCCCCCCGGCCCA